CCCCCTGTCCCCCCCCCCCTTTTTTCTCTTTTTTTTTTCTTTCTTTGATTCTATTATTTGCGGCAATTGCAACTTTCATTCTCAATAATGGAGTTTTAAAGAAGTACATTTTTTTCTTTCATATATTTCAGACGGTGAGGATCCAGACAAGGGCTCGTCAGAGACCTTAAACACAGCATCTGGGAAACATGACGAGGTGGGGTATAAAGAATTATATTGACTTTATGTAAAAAGGTTTATACATTGATTTATAAATTGATTAAGAATAATTGTAGAATTGTCTTCTGATATTTGTAACATTCATATGTTTGTCAGGCTAGCTAAACAGACCTTGAAATGTGGCAGTGTTGTACCCATAATCCTCTTAAACATGCGGTTTTTCGAGATAAAAATACTTTCCCCCAAATAAATAAATGATGATAATAATCAAACCATCAAACAAACAACCAAACAACAACAGCAAACAGCAAAAACAATTCCATAGAAAGAAAGAGAGCCCAAACTGCAGTCGCCGAGTTCTCCTGAGTCAGCAACACTATAAGGTATCACACCTGTAATTGTTTTCACTATATAATTCTATATAGAATAAAAAAATCGTTAAAAATCAGGTATGTGTTTACATGAAAAAATATTTAGCAGGAGATGTTAAACAGTACCTGTCACATTAGCCGAGTCCAAAAAACAGGGTACCTACACGGCATTTTCTTATTTTTTCCATCTGCAAACAGGGCTACCCTCAAACCCACGTGTTTTCAGCATGTTTAAAAACATTTCCGGTGCACTCCAGGAAGTAGCCTCCTATGCCCTGAAAAAATAGCTCCTGTCAAAAAACTTTATCTATTTACAAAATACATTAAATTTACTAGGTACAGGTACCAAAGTTGTAAAAATGGCTTGGAAGAATGTAGAAAAACGCCTCAAAACAAAAGAAAATTAATTTTATATATATGAACCTACATTTGACTTAGTTCATTTTGATTGGTCAATTACCGGTGTGATACCTTGAAGGACCTTTGAGGGTGTTCGATTTTTTTTTCATTTTTAGCTCACCTGAGCCGAAGGCTCAAGTGAGCTTTTCTGATCACATTTTGTCCGGCGTCCGTCTGTCTGTCTGTCTGTCCGTCTGTCTGTCCGTCTGTCTGTAAACTTTTCACATTTTCGACTTCTTCTCAAGAACCGCCGGGCCAATTTCGACCAAACTTGCCACAAAGTATCCTTGGGCGAAGGGGATTCAAGTTTGTTCAAAATAAAGGACCACGCCTTCATTCAAGGGGAGATAATTGGGAATTAATGAAAATTTGGTGGCATGTTTTAAAAATCTTCTTCTCAAGAACCACTGTGCCAGGAAAGATGAAACTTATGAGAAGGGATCCTCAGGTAGTGTAGAATCAAATTTGTTCAAATCATGACCCCCAGGGGTAGGGCGGGGCCAACATGGCCGACCAAAGTTTTACATAGAAATATATAGGAAATTTCTTTAAAAATCTTCTCCTCAAGAATAGCAAAGCCATATTTGATCATATTTATATGGAAGCATCCTCAGGTGATGTAGATTCAATTTTTTTCAAATCATGACCCCCAGGGGTAGGGCGGGGCCAAAATGGCCGACCAAAGTTTTACATAGAAATATATAGGAAATTTCTTTAAAAATCTTCTCCTCAAGAACAACAAAGCCATAATTGATCATATTTATATGGAAGCATCCTCAGGTAGTGTAGATTCAAGTTTGTTCAAATCATGACCCCCAGGGTTAGGGTGGGGCCAAAATGGCCGACCAAAGTTTTACATAGAAATATATAGCAAATGTCTTTAAAAATCAGCAAAGCCATAATTGAACATATTTATATAGAAGCATCCTCAGGTAGTGTAGATTCAAGTTTGTTCTAATCATGACCTCCAGGGGTAGGGCGGGGCCAAAATGGCCGACCAAAGATTTACATAGAAATGTATAGGAAAATTCTATAAAAATCTTCTTCTCAAGAATAACAAAGCCATAATTGATCATATTTATATGGAAGCATCTTCAGGTAGTGTAGACTCAAGTTTGTTCGAATCATGACCCCCAGGGGTAGGGCGGGGCCAAAATGGCCGACCAAAGATTTACATAGAAATGTATAGGAAAATTCTATAAAAATCTTCTTCTCAAGAATAACAAAGCCATAATTGATCATGTGTATATGGAAGCATCCTCAGGTAGTGTAGATTCAAGTTTGTTCGAATCATGACCCCCAGGGGTAGGGCGGGGCCAAAATGGCCGACCAAAGTTTTACATAGAAATGTATAGGAAAATTCTTTAAAAATCTTCTTCTTAAGAATAGCAAAGCCATGATTGGTCATAGGACTACTTTTGGATTCAAACTTTTCAATAATAAACCAAATTCTACTATTTCTTACCCACAGTGCTCAGGTGAGCGATGTGGCCCATGGGCCTCTTGTTGCACCTTAGATTCATTAAACAATTGTCCCCAACATCCTTAAGTCTGGTGATCTAAATCCCTTTATTTCTGAAGATATGAAGCATTTATCTCCCTTACTCCAGAGCAGTCAAGAATAACACACAGAGCACTCTGGAAGCAGTTTTTTGTGCATCTTTTGAAGCAGAATTTCATCCTTAAAAGAATAAGCTTGGCAACCAATTTTTTATCTGTGGAGAGTATATGCTTTGTTCTTCACAACAAACAAAAAAAGAGGTTACAAGTCTAAGACCATTATGTAATTATTACATAACAAAGTTGCATTTTCCCCTTCAAAGAATGAACAAAAATACAGAAATTGTTAAATACTGGGTTGATAATGAAAACTGTATCTGGTCAATTTATGTTCCAAATAAAGCCTAGGTATTTGTCTACAAGATGCTGTGAAGAAGTTTATCTAAATGCTGTGTTGTAACCCAGGGCAGTCTTAATGATATCAGCATCTAGGGAGGTTCTTGACAGCTCCCACACTCCAATAAACTGGCTTTGATGATTAGAAAATGGAGACAACAATTCAGATGTAATTTATTGTTGTGATTTATGTAACTGGCTTTCTCTTAAGACACAAAGTAGCCATGAAATTTCAATTTAACATGCATAATTATTCTCTTTTCATGGATTTACTCAGGAATTCCAAAGGTGTTTAATGAATTTCCATGATTTATGCAAGATTACATCTGTTTGTTTCACCAAATTTACATAAAAAATAAAAATTCAAATTTTAAAATATAAATATTAAACATTTTTATGGGTTTGAACACATTTACATGTAACAAAATGCATCACAGAGACCAGTTTCAGGACATCCTCCATGAATCTTTGAGGTGGGTGGGTGTACAAAAACTGCTGATAAAATTTATAGGAGGTGACCTGAGAAGAAAGGTGCACCTTATTAGCTGAATTATAGTTATTCTGATATTTTAATTATGTAAATATCCAAATTTCTTCATCAGTTAAATTTACAATTTATTAATATTTCAGTACAATGATATCCTTAATAGATCATGCTCATATAAGCATCACTGACTGAGACTTAAATCAAAAGTGACAGTCAACACCTACATATAAATGAAAAAAATAACAAAAAACAGTCTCCGACAAACTGAGAAAACATGAATGTCAGCTGCAAAAGCATGAATAAAGTCCTGAGAACCACAAGAGGCATGCCATGGTGCTAAGTGACATTCTGCACTACATGTATGATGCATGATTAGAACTCAGAATAAGTATTATCATGCAGACTCTGACAGTATTTAAGGATATTTTGGTCATAACCTTCCTTCCTGTGAAAAATTCTTAAAGAATTTTACTTATGTAGCTTATGTTTGAAGTTTATTAGACAGATCTGACTCATTTCATTATTTCTATTCTTCCAATGCAGTAACATATGTATCAATGGAGGTGTGAATAAATTAAAATAAAGCATATATCTGTAGAAATTATCATTCTGTGAGAACATATTTTACTTATTTACATTTTATCGCAGTTGTCGCTTGTGCTGAAAATTCATTCGCAAACCTAGAATTAGTCTATTCTTGAAAAATCAGCTTTAACACCCTTTACTTCAAAGTCTGTAGATACTATAATTGACTGCGGTCAGCTGATGCAAATAATGTTAAGTCATATAAAATGAAAAAACAACATTCTCTGACTTCTTTCTACATTTCAGATGCATAATGCTACCTTTTTACTCATATTTTAAAGAAGTGAGTGTAAAAAATAACCTATTGTTAATTTTAACACAGAAATCTGTGAAAAATAATGTAAATTCTAATTCTAATTTTAAAATTGTGTGTTTCCTAACAAAAAGTTAGTAAAATCACATATTCTGTTGAAATATGCCTTTTAAATATGAAAAATGTCTTTAATAACGATTTAAATGATTTTTCATAATCACCTTCAAGGTATCACACCGGTAATTGTTTTCACTATATAATTCTATTTAGAATAAAAAATCGTTAAAAATCAGGTATGTGTTTACATGAAAAAATATTTAGCAGGAGATGTTAAACATTACCTGTCACATTAGCTGACACCAAAAAAACAGGGTACCCACACGGCATTTTCGGACTTTTTCCATCTGCAAACAGGGCTACCCTCAAATCCACGTGTTTTCACTTTGTTTATAAACACCTCGAGTGCATCACAGGAAGTAGCCTCCTATGCCCTGAAAAAAATAGTTCCTGTCAAAAACCTTTCTTTATTCACAAAGTACATAAAATTTACTAGGCTAAGAAAATAGAAAAACGCCTCAAAACAAAAGAAAATTAATTTTATATATATGAACCTACATTTGACTAAGTTCACTTTGATTGGTCAATTACCGGTGTGATACCTTGAAGGACCTTTGAGGGTGTTCGATTTTTTTTTCATTTTTAGCTCACCTGAGCCGAAGGCTCAAGTGAGCTTTTCTGATCACATTTTGTCCGGCGTCCGTCTGTCTGTCTGTCTGTCTGTCCGTCTGTCTGTCCGTCTGTCTGTAAACTTTTCACATTTTCGACTTCTTCTCAAGAACCGCCGGGCCAATTTCGACCAAACTTGCCACAAAGTATCCTTGGGCGAAGGGGATTCAAGTTTGTTCAAATAAAGGGCCACGCCCTCATTCAAGGGGAGATAATTGGGAATTAATGAAAATTTGGTGGCATGTTTTAAAAATCTTCTTCTCAAGAACCACTGTGCCAGGAAAGATGAAACTTATGGGGAAACATCCTCAGGTAGTGTAGATTCAAATTTGTTCAAATCATGACCCCCAGGGGTAGGGCGGGGCCAACATGGCCGACCAAAGTTTTACATAGAAATATATAGGAAATTTCTTTAAAAATCTTCTTCTCAAGAATAGCAAAGCCATATTTGATCATATTTATATGGAAGCATCCTCAGGTGATGTAGATTCAAGTTTTTTCAAATCATGACCCCCAGGGGTAGGGCGGGGCCAAAATGGCCGACCAAAGTTTTACATAGAAATATATAGGAAATTTCTTTAAAAATCTTCTCCTCAAGAACAACAAAGCCATAATTGATCATATTTATATAGAAGCATCCTCAGGTAGTGTAGATTCAAGTTTGTTCAAATCATGACACCCAGGGTTAGGGTGGGGCCAAAATGGCCGACCAAAGTTTTACATAGAAATATATAGGAAAATTCTTTAAAAATCAGCAAAGCCATAATTGATCATATTTATATAGAAGCATCCTCAGGTAGTGTAGATTCAAGTTTGTTCAAATCATGACCTCCAGGGGTAGGGCGGGGCCAAAATGGCCGACCAAAGATTTACATAGAAATATATAGGAAAATTCTATAAAAATCTTCTTCCTCAAGAATAACAAAGCCATAATTGATCATATTTATATGGAAGCATCTTCAGGTAGTGTAGACTCAAGTTTGTTCGAATCATGACCCCCAGGGGTAGGGCGGGGCCAAAATGGCCGACCAAAGTTTTACATAGAAATGTATAGGAAAATTCTATAAAAATCTTCTTCTCAAGAATAACAAAGCCATAATTGATCATATTTATATGGAAGCATCCTCAGGTAGTGTAGATTCAAGTTTGTTCGAATCATGACCCCCAGGGGTAGGGCGGGGCCAAAATGGCCGACCAAAGTTTTACATAGAAATGTATAGGAAAATTCTTTAAAAATCTTCTTCTTAAGAATAGCAAAGTCATGATTGGTCATAGGGCTACTTTTGGATTTAAGCTTTTCAAGTATAAACCAATTCTGCTTTTTCCTAACCACAGTGCTCAGGTGAGCGATGTGGCCCATGGGCCTTTTGTTGCACCTTAGATTCATTAAACAATTGTCCCCAACATCCTTAAGTCTGGTGATCTAAATCCCCTTATTTCTGAAGATATGAAGCATTTATCTCCCTTACTCCAGAGCAGTCAAGAATAACACACAGAGCACTCTGGAAGCAGTTTTTTGTGCATCTTTTGAAGCAGAATTTCATCCTTAAAAGAATAAGCTTGGCAACCAATTTTTTATCTGTGGAGAGTATATGCTTTGTTCTTCACAACAAACAAAAAAAGAGGTTACAAGTCTAAGACCATTATGTAATTATTACATAACAAAGTTGCATTTTCCCCTTCAAAGAATGAACAAAATACAGAAATTGTTAAATACTGGGTTGATAATGAAAACTGTATCTGGTCAATTTATGTTCCAAATAAAGCCTAGGTATTTGTCTACAAGATGCTGTAAAGAAGTTTATCTAAATGCTGTGTTGTAACTCAGGGCAGTCTTAATGATATCAGCATCTAGGGAGGTTCTTGACAGCTCCCACACTCCAATAAACTGGCTTTGATGATTAGAAAATGGAGACAACAATTCAGATGTAATTTATTGTTGTGATTTATGTAACTGGCTTTCTCTTAAGACACAAAGTAGCCATGAAATTTCAATTTAACATGCATAATTATTCTCTTTTCATGGATTTACTCAGGAATTCCAAAGGTGTTTAATGAATTTCCATGATTTATGCAAGATTACATCTGTTTGTTTCACCAAATTTACATAAAAAATAAAAATTCAAATTTTAAAATATAAATATTAAACATTTTTATGGGTTTGAACACATTTACATGTAACAAAATGCATCACAGAGACCAGTTTCAGGACATCCTCCATGAATCTTTGAGGTGGGTGGGTGTACAAAAACTGCTGATAAAATTTATAGGAGGTGACCTGAGAAGAAAGGTGCACCTTATTAGCTGAATTATAGTTATTCTGATATTTTAATTATGTAAATATCCAAATTTCTTCATCAGTTAAATTTACAATTTATTAATATTTCAGTACAATGATATCCTTAATAGATCATGCTCATATAAGCATCACTGACTGAGACTTAAATCAAAAGTGACAGTCAACACCTACATATAAATGAAAAAAATAACAAAAAACAGTCTCCGACAAACTGAGAAAACATGAATGTCAGCTGCAAAAGCATGAATAAAGTCCTGAGAACCACAAGAGGCATGCCATGGTGCTAAGTGACATTCTGCACTACATGTATGATGCATGATTAGAACTCAGAATAAGTATTATCATGCAGACTCTGACAGTATTTAAGGATATTTTGGTCATAACCTTCCTTCCTGTGAAAAATTCTTAAAGAATTTTACTTATGTAGCTTATGTTTGAAGTTTATTAGACAGATCTGACTCATTTCATTATTTCTATTCTTCCAATGCAGTAACATATGTATCAATGGAGGTGTGAATAAATTAAAATAAAGCATATATCTGTAGAAATTATCATTCTGTGAGAACATATTTTACTTATTTACATTTTATCGCAGTTGTCGCTTGTGCTGAAAATTCATTCGCAAACCTAGAATTAGTCTATTCTTGAAAAATCAGCTTTAACACCCTTTACTTCAAAGTCTGTAGATACTATAATTGACTGCGGTCAGCTGATGCAAATAATGTTAAGTCATATAAAATGAAAAAACAACATTCTCTGACTTCTTTCTACATTTCAGATGCATAATGCTACCTTTTTACTCATATTTTAAAGAAGTGAGTGTAAAAAATAACCTATTGTTAATTTTAACACAGAAATCTGTGAAAAATAATGTAAATTCTAATTCTAATTTTAAAATTGTGTGTTTCCTAACAAAAAGTTAGTAAAATCACATATTCTGTTGAAATATGCCTTTTAAATATGAAAAATGTCTTTAATAACGATTTAAATGATTTTTCATAATCACCTTCAAGGTATCACACCGGTAATTGTTTTCACTATATAATTCTATTTAGAATAAAAAATCGTTAAAAATCAGGTATGTGTTTACATGAAAAAATATTTAGCAGGAGATGTTAAACATTACCTGTCACATTAGCTGACACCAAAAAAACAGGGTACCCACACGGCATTTTCGGACTTTTTCCATCTGCAAACAGGGCTACCCTCAAATCCACGTGTTTTCACTTTGTTTATAAACACCTCGAGTGCATCACAGGAAGTAGCCTCCTATGCCCTGAAAAAAATAGTTCCTGTCAAAAACCTTTCTTTATTCACAAAGTACATAAAATTTACTAGGCTAAGAAAATAGAAAAACGCCTCAAAACAAAAGAAAATTAATTTTATATATATGAACCTACATTTGACTAAGTTCACTTTGATTGGTCAATTACCGGTGTGATACCTTGAAGGACCTTTGAGGGTGTTCGATTTTTTTTTCATTTTTAGCTCACCTGAGCCGAAGGCTCAAGTGAGCTTTTCTGATCACATTTTGTCCGGCGTCCGTCTGTCTGTCTGTCTGTCTGTCCGTCTGTCTGTCCGTCTGTCTGTAAACTTTTCACATTTTCGACTTCTTCTCAAGAACCGCCGGGCCAATTTCGACCAAACTTGCCACAAAGTATCCTTGGGCGAAGGGGATTCAAGTTTGTTCAAATAAAGGGCCACGCCCTCATTCAAGGGGAGATAATTGGGAATTAATGAAAATTTGGTGGCATGTTTTAAAAATCTTCTTCTCAAGAACCACTGTGCCAGGAAAGATGAAACTTATGGGGAAACATCCTCAGGTAGTGTAGATTCAAATTTGTTCAAATCATGACCCCCAGGGGTAGGGCGGGGCCAACATGGCCGACCAAAGTTTTACATAGAAATATATAGGAAATTTCTTTAAAAATCTTCTTCTCAAGAATAGCAAAGCCATATTTGATCATATTTATATGGAAGCATCCTCAGGTGATGTAGATTCAAGTTTTTTCAAATCATGACCCCCAGGGGTAGGGCGGGGCCAAAATGGCCGACCAAAGTTTTACATAGAAATATATAGGAAATTTCTTTAAAAATCTTCTCCTCAAGAACAACAAAGCCATAATTGATCATATTTATATAGAAGCATCCTCAGGTAGTGTAGATTCAAGTTTGTTCAAATCATGACACCCAGGGTTAGGGTGGGGCCAAAATGGCCGACCAAAGTTTTACATAGAAATATATAGGAAAATTCTTTAAAAATCAGCAAAGCCATAATTGATCATATTTATATAGAAGCATCCTCAGGTAGTGTAGATTCAAGTTTGTTCAAATCATGACCTCCAGGGGTAGGGCGGGGCCAAAATGGCCGACCAAAGATTTACATAGAAATATATAGGAAAATTCTATAAAAATCTTCTTCCTCAAGAATAACAAAGCCATAATTGATCATATTTATATGGAAGCATCTTCAGGTAGTGTAGACTCAAGTTTGTTCGAATCATGACCCCCAGGGGTAGGGCGGGGCCAAAATGGCCGACCAAAGATTTACATAGAAATGTATAGGAAAATTCTATAAAAATCTTCTTCTCAAGAATAACAAAGCCATAATTGATCATATTTATATGGAAGCATCCTCAGGTAGTGTAGATTCAAGTTTGTTCGAATCATGACCCCCAGGGGTAGGGCGGGGCCAAAATGGCCGACCAAAGTTTTACATAGAAATGTATAGGAAAATTCTTTAAAAATCTTCTTCTTAAGAATAGCAAAGTCATGATTGGTCATAGGGCTACTTTTGGATTTAAGCTTTTCAAGTATAAACCAATTCTGCTTTTTCCTAACCACAGTGCTCAGGTGAGCGATGTGGCCCATGGGCCTTTTGTTGCACCTTAGATTCATTAAACAATTGTCCCCAACATCCTTAAGTCTGGTGATCTAAATCCCCTTATTTCTGAAGATATGAAGCATTTATCTCCCTTACTCCAGAGCAGTCAAGAATAACACACAGAGCACTCTGGAAGCAGTTTTTTGTGCATCTTTTGAAGCAGAATTTCATCCTTAAAAGAATAAGCTTGGCAACCAATTTTTTATCTGTGGAGAGTATATGCTTTGTTCTTCACAACAAACAAAAAAAGAGGTTACAAGTCTAAGACCATTATGTAATTATTACATAACAAAGTTGCATTTTCCCCTTCAAAGAATGAACAAAATACAGAAATTGTTAAATACTGGGTTGATAATGAAAACTGTATCTGGTCAATTTATGTTCCAAATAAAGCCTAGGTATTTGTCTACAAGATGCTGTAAAGAAGTTTATCTAAATGCTGTGTTGTAACTCAGGGCAGTCTTAATGATATCAGCATCTAGGGAGGTTCTTGACAGCTCCCACACTCCAATAAACTGGCTTTGATGATTAGAAAATGGAGACAACAATTCAGATGTAATTTATTGTTGTGATTTATGTAACTGGCTTTCTCTTAAGACACAAAGTAGCCATGAAATTTCAATTTAACATGCATAATTATTCTCTTTTCATGGATTTACTCAGGAATTCCAAAGGTGTTTAATGAATTTCCATGATTTATGCAAGATTACATCTGTTTGTTTCACCAAATTTACATAAAAAATAAAAATTCAAATTTTAAAATATAAATATTAAACATTTTTATTGGTTTGAACACATTTACATGTAACAAAATGCATCACAGAGACCAGTTTCAGGACATCCTCCATGAATCTTTGAGGTGGGTGGGTGTACAAAAACTGCTGATAAAATTTATAGGAGGTGACCTGAGAAGAAAGGTGCACCTTATTAGCTGAATTATAGTTATTCTGATATTTTAATTATGTAAATATCCAAATTTCTTCATCAGTTAAATTTACAATTTATTAATATTTCAGTACAATGATATCCTTAATAGATCATGCTCATATAAGCATCACTGACTGAGACTTAAATCAAAAGTGACAGTCAACACCTACATATAAATGAAAAAAATAACAAAAACAGTCTCCGACAAACTGAGAAAACATGAATGTCAGCTGCAAAAGCATGAATAAAGTCCTGAGAACCACAAGAGGCATGCCATGGTGCTAAGTGACATTCTGCACTACATGTATGATGCATGATTAGAACTAAGAATAAGTATTATCATGCAGACTCTGACAGTATTTAAGGATATTTTGGTCATAACCTTCCTTCCTGTGAAAAATTCTTAAAGAATTTTACTTATGTAGCTTATGTTTGAAGTTTATTAGACAGATCTGACTCATTTCATTATTTCTATTCTTCCAATGCAGTAACATATGTATCAATGGAGGTGTGAATAAATTAAAATAAAGCATATATCTGTAGAAATTATCATTCTGTGAGAACATATTTTACTTATTTACATTTTATCGCAGTTGTCGCTTGTGCTGAAAATTCATTCGCAAACCTAGAATTAGTCTATTCTTGAAAAATCAGCTTTAACACCCTTTACTTCAAAGTCTGTAGATACTATAATTGACTGCGGTCAGCTGATGCAAATAATGTTAAGTCATATAAAATGAAAAAACAACATTCTCTGACTTCTTTCTACATTTCAGATGCATAATGCTACCTTTTTACTCATATTTTAAAGAAGTGAGTGTAAAAAATAACCTATTGTTAATTTTAACACAGAAATCTGTGAAAAATAATGTAAATTCTAATTCTAATTTTAAAATTGTGTGTTTCCTAACAAAAAGTTAGTAAAATCACATATTCTGTTGAAATATGCCTTTTAAATATGAAAAATGTCTTTAATAACGATTTAAATGATTTTTCATAATCACCTTCAAGGTATCACACCGGTAATTGTTTTCACTATATAATTCTATTTAGAATAAAAAATCGTTAAAAATCAGGTATGTGTTTACATGAAAAAATATTTAGCAGGAGATGTTAAACATTACCTGTCACATTAGCTGACACCAAAAAAACAGGGTACCCACACGGCATTTTCGGACTTTTTCCATCTGCAAACAGGGCTACCCTCAAATCCACGTGTTTTCACTTTGTTTATAAACACCTCGAGTGCATCACAGGAAGTAGCCTCCTATGCCCTGAAAAAAATAGTTCCTGTCAAAAACCTTTCTTTATTCACAAAGTACATAAAATTTACTAGGCTAAGAAAATAGAAAAACGCCTCAAAACAAAAGAAAATTAATTTTATATATATGAACCTACATTTGACTAAGTTCACTTTGATTGGTCAATTACCGGTGTGATACCTTGAAGGACCTTTGAGGGTGTTCGATTTTTTTTTCATTTTTAGCTCACCTGAGCCGAAGGCTCAAGTGAGCTTTTCTGATCACATTTTGTCCGGCGTCCGTCTGTCTGTCTGTCTGTCTGTCCGTCTGTCTGTCCGTCTGTCTGTAAACTTTTCACATTTTCGACTTCTTCTCAAGAACCGCCGGGCCAATTTCGACCAAACTTGCCACAAAGTATCCTTGGGCGAAGGGGATTCAAGTTTGTTCAAATAAAGGGCCACGCCCTCATTCAAGGGGAGATAATTGGGAATTAATGAAAATTTGGTGGCATGTTTTAAAAATCTTCTTCTCAAGAACCACTGTGCCAGGAAAGATGAAACTTATGGGGAAACATCCTCAGGTAGTGTAGATTCAAGTTTGTTCAAATCATGACCCCCAGGGGTAGGGCGGGGCCAAAACGGCTGACCAAAGTTTTACATAGAAATATATAGGAAATTTCTTTAAAAATCTTCTTCTCAAGAATAGCAAAGCCATATTTGATCATATTTATATGGAAGCATCCTCAGGTGATGTAGATTCAAGTTTTTTCAAATCATGACCCCCAGGGGTAGGGCGGGGCCAAAATGGCCGACCAAAGTTTTACATAGAAATATATAGGAAATTTCTTTAAAAATCTTCTCCTCAAGAACAACAAAGCCATAATTGATCATATTTATATAGAAGCATCCTCAGGTAGTGTAGATTCAAGTTTGTTCAAATCATGACCCCCAGGGTTAGGGTGGGGCCAAAATGGCCGACCAAAGTTTTACATAGAAATATATAGGAAAATTCTTTAAAAATCAGCAAAGCCATAATTTATCATATTTATATAGAAGCATCCTCAGGTAGTGTAGATTCAAGTTTGTTCAAATCATGACCTCCAGGGGTAGGGCGGGGCCAAAATGGCCGACCAAAGATTTACATAGAAATATATAGGAAAATTCTATAAAAATCTTCTTCCTCAAGAATAACAAAGCCATAATTGATCATATTTATATGGAAGCATCTTCAGGTAGTGTAGACTCAAGTTTGTTCGAATCATGACCCCCAGGGGTAGGGCGGGGCCAAAATGGCCGACCAAAGATTTACATAGAAATGTATAGGAAAATTCTATAAAAATCTTCTTCTCAAGAATAACAAAGCCATAATTGATCATATTTATATGGAAGCATCCTCAGGTAGTGTAGATTCAAGTTTGTTCGAATCATGACCCCCAGGGGTAGGGCGGGGCCAAAATGGCCGACCAAAGTTTTACATAGAAATGTATAGGAAAATTCTTTAAAAATCTTCTTCTTAAGAATAGCAAAGTCATGATTGGTCATAGGGCTACTTTTGGATTTAAGCTTTTCAAGTATAAACCAATTCTGCTTTTTCCTAACCACAGTGCTCAGGTGAGCGATGTGGCCCATGGGCCTTTTGTTGCACCTTAGATTCATTAAACAATTGTCCCCAACATCCTTAAGTCTGGTGATCTAAATCCCCTTATTTCTGAAGATATGAAGCATTTATCTCCCTTACTCCAGAGCAGTCAAGAATAACACACAGAGCACTCTGGAAGCAGTTTTTTGTGCATCTTTTGAAGCAGAATTTCATCCTTAAAAGAATAAGCTTGGCAACCAATTTTTTATCTGTGGAGAGTATATGCTTTGTTCTTCACAACAAACAAAAAAAGAGGTTACAAGTCTAAGACCATTATGTAATTATTACATAACAAAGTTGCATTTTCCCCTTCAAAGAATGAACAAAATACAGAAATTGTTAAATACTGGGTTGATAATGAAAACTGTATCTGGTCAATTTATGTTCCAAATAAAGCCTAGGTATTTGTCTACAAGATGCTGTAAAGAAGTTTATCTAAATGCTGTGTTGTAACTCAGGGCAGTCTTAATGATATCAGCATCTAGGGAGGTTCTTGACAGCTCCCACACTCCAATAAACTGGCTTTGATGATTAGAAAATGGAGACAACAATTCAGATGTAATTTATTGTTGTGATTTATGTAACTGGCTTTCTCTTAAGACACAAAGTAGCCATGAAATTTCAATTTAACATGCATAATTATTCTCTTTTCATGGATTTACTCAGGAATTCCAAAGGTGTTTAATGAATTTCCATGATTTATGCAAGATTACATCTGTTTGTTTCACCAAATTTACATAAAAAATAAAAATTCAAATTTTAAAATATAAATATTAAACATTTTTATTGGTTTGAACACATTTACATGTAACAAAATGCATCACAGAGACCAGTTTCAGGACATCCTCCATGAATCTTTGAGGTGGGTGGGTGTACAAAAACTGCTGATAAAATTTATAGGAGGTGACCTGAGAAGAAAGGTGCACCTTATTAGCTGAATTATAGTTATTCTGATATTTTAATTATGTAAATATCCAAATTTCTTCATCAGTTAAATTTACAATTTATTAATATTTCAGTACAATGATATCCTTAATAGATCATGCTCATATAAGCATCACTGACTGAGACTTAAATCAAAAGTGACAGTCAACACCTACATATAAATGAAAAAAATAACAAAAACAGTCTCCGACAAACTGAGAAAACATGAATGTCAGCTGCAAAAGCATGAATAAAGTCCTGAGAACCACAAGAGGCATGCCATGGTGCTAAGTGACATTCTGCACTACATGTATGATGCATGATTAGAACTCAGAATAAGTATTATCATGCAGACTCTGACAGTATTTAAGGATATTTTGGTCATAACCTTCCTTCCTGTGAAAAATTCTTAAAGAATTTTACTTATGTAGCTTATGTTTGAAGTTTATTAGACAGATCTGACTCATTTCATTATTTCTATTCTTCCAATGCAGTAACATATGTATCAATGGAGGTGTGAATAAATTAAAATAAAGCATATATCTGTAGAAATTATCATTCTGTGAGAACATATTTTACTTATTTACATTTTATCGCAGTTGTCGCTTGTGCTGAAAATTCATTTGCAAACCTAGAATTAGTCTATTCTTGAAAAATCAGCTTTAACACCCTTTACTTCAAAGTCTGTAGATACTATAATTGACTGCGGTCAGCTGATGCAAATAATGTTAAGTCATATAAAATGAAAAAACAACATTCTCTGACTTCTTTCTACATTTCAGATGCATAATGCTACCTTTTTACTCATATTTTAAAGAAGTGAGTGTAAAAAATAACCTATTGTTAATTTTTACACAGAAATCTGTGAAAAATAATGTAAATTCTAATTCTAATTTTAAAATTGTGTGTTTCCTAACAAAAAGTTAGTAAAATCACATATTCTGTTGAAATATGCCTTTTAAATATGAAAAATGTCTTTAATAACGATTTAAATGATTTTTCATAATCACCTTCAAGGTATCACACCGGTAATTGTTTTCACTATATAATTCTATTTAGAATAAAAAATCGTTAAAAATCAGGTATGTGTTTACATGAAAAAATATTTAGCAGGAGATGTTAAACATTACCTGTCACATTAGCTGACACCAAAAAAACAGGGTACCCACACGGCATTTTCGGACTTTTTCCATCTGCAAACAGGGCTACCCTCAAATCCACGTGTTTTCACTTTGTTTATAAACACCTCGAGTGCATCACAGGAAGTAGCCTCCTATGCCCTGAAAAAAATAGTTCCTGTCAAAAACCTTTCTTTATTCACAAAGTACATAAAATTTACTAGGCACAGGTACCAAAGTTGTAAAAATGGCTTGGAAGAAAATATAGAAAAACGCCTCAAAAGAAAAGAAAATTAATTTTATATATATGGACCTATATTTGACTAAGTTCATTTTGATTGGTCAATTACCGGTGTGATACCTATAGATCAGAGAAAAAGAGCAGGCAGCAGTGAGGAATTATGGGTAAAATGTCCTTAGAAACAAAACAAGTACAAACTGCAGTCGCCGAGTTCTCCTGAGTCAGCAACACTATAGATCAGAGAAAAAGAGCAGGCAGCATGAGGAATTATGGGTAAATTGTCCGTAGAACCTAAACGAGTCCAAACTGCAGTCGCCGAGTTCTCCTGGGTCAGCAACACTATATATCAGAGAGAAAGAGCAGGTATGCCGGCAGCAGTGTGGAAAAATGAGTAAAATGTCAAAGGTAAATTTGTTTTTTTAATCATAAATCTTAGGACTGCATTAGATATTATTCCAAATATAATACAAATATGTTTTTTTTAAATTTCAATAGATGTTGATATTTTTCGCTCAAAGTCATCATGAAAGAGATTTTTTCCATATCACATTTCTTTTAAAATTTCGGATTGGGATTCATTCTTCTTTGGAAAGAGGGTTATATGATTTTCATTCAGTCTTTAATTTCTTTATTTGATCTTTGTTTATAAAGTTTAAAAAATGGCTGCTTAAGTTAGGAAAATATCCCTGGTCATATGTTACCAAATTTATAACAATCTAAATCCTTCTTTTTTATTTTCTTACAATAGCAGTCAGTAGAGCTACAGGCCAAGGCTGCTGTTGATGTAAGCTTATCCACAATCCTTATGCTAAACATATACGGTAACAACTGACTTGCTTTGTACATCTACTTTGTTTTGAAAAGAAATAGTTCATTATCATCTCTTTTATTGAAGTTAGATGGCCTATGAAGTATCATTTTTGTAAGCACACACAGAACATCACACTTTATTACCTATTTTACAGGAGACTGAGCCATCCTCTCCCGCTGTTGACACTGGGCTCCGTGAGGAACCGACAGATGTTACCACCGGGTCTGATGGGAACCCTCCCCGGCTGCTGAGGTGGAACCCACACAACCCTTCATTGGCGGTTCCTTTCCGCGTGCTGAGACCCCTGTCGACTCTTCCTCTGATGAGCCTGAAACTGCCACTGACAGGGTAGGTGTAATTAAAAGTATCACTAAGTAGTATCATTTACTACAATAAACAAAGTTTAAAAAATTCTCAGTAAGAATAACCTTTAAAAATGTTTGTGAGATACGTGTAGTCAAGGTAATGGAGAGTCAGCAATTGAGATGCTATTTTATGTTTCTTTGAAACGTGCCTAAAAGGAGAAAAGAAAAAAAATAAAAGTCAGAAAATTATTTTTTCAGGTGACAGATGACAAGGTGAGTAAGAGATTGGTGGAGGACAAAGCAGAAGGGGGCATCTGCACTGAGGCACAGTCGATAGAAGCTGAGGTATTGGAAAATAGTCGTTATTAAAAACAGATATAGAAAGTAAATAACAGAGAATAATACGTGTCTTTGTGATAGTTTTTATTATACATTTTATGTTGATAAATTTCAGAAGCAGTCCAATCGCAAACGCAAGAGACCAGACCAACCTTTCATGTTTTCGAAGAGACAGAAGACTGCTTTGGTATGTATACTAGTATTTTGTAATATTAACCACTTTTAAAATGTATTCTTCTTGATATTTCTGTTATTCTCGCAACTTTTCTTAATTGCATATTGTTTTCAGTTTTCACCAATGGAGACTGAGTTGCAGTGTTTGGTACGGATGTTCGGCGCCTTGAGCTTGTAAGCCTCCATTGTTACCTGTGTGAATGAGCACCTGACCTATGACGTGTGACGTACCTAACGACGTGGTTTTAGGTGGGTGTATTTCCATCATATTTTCTACAGATTGTCACACAGGTAGGTGGTACATGTACTACACTTTCATAGTTCATATAGAATCACTGTAAATAGTTTTGATTACGTTTTGCTTACATTTTCCCCGTTTCATTATCCATTTATTTTATTTATTATTTTTATAATGGCATATTATATATAAATGTTCTTTTTTTAATATTGTAAATATTTGTTGATTTTTTTCCAATTAACTTAAAAAATCTACTTTTGTTGTGTTTTTATTTATTGGTGGAGATACATACAAGGTGTTACCTTATTGTAATGTTGAAAGAGCTCACTAGCTATAAGAGTGATGGATTCTAGAGAACAGTAGACTTGTCACACCAGCACCGATTGATTAAGTGCCTTGCTCATTAAGATCATATATAAAGTAATTATTTGAAATACATGTAAATTATTATGAATGCAAAGTATGAGAAGGAACGGATCTTCAATTTATTTTTCTGAGAAATCATTTCTAAACACTACGTTCCTTTGATTACGAGGGTTGTTTAATAAAAAATACAAAAATGTCACCTTAAGTAAGAAAATGACATATTCTCAATATTTTCAATCCTTCAAAGCATTCTCAGTTACCCTTTCCGCATGTATTAAAGGTCTTTGTACACATGGCCGGAAACAGCAGCAAACCCATGTGATGCATGCCCCAAAAGACACTGATGAAAATAACTTCTTATAACATACAGCGGCGGATCATAATATTATAAACAAAATGGCGTTCCAATTGCGGTTGTAAAGAAACGTTCACTCTTATTTATATGTAGCTCCTCTCAGTTTGCATGTTTAAATAAAAAAGGCACATGACTGGGTTAAATGACGTATTATGTTATAATAAGATATGACGTATCATGATTGTGATGCAATAAATTACAGTTTATTCTCGATAAACCGCCACCTTTTGTAATTTAGAAATCATGGCGGTATAACGAATTTGGCGATGAATCGAATTTCCCATATTTTAGTAAACAAGAAGTAGAGTTACCGTTCTTAGAAATACCATTTAGCGTTTCTATTCTTATTATTACATGTATACATGTATACATAAAAACATATTTCTGATTAAAAATAATTCAAGTTAATTTTTTTTATGTACAATTTCGCCAAAAAAAAAAAGTGCAGTTATAAATGAAAGACAAGTACATGTGTATGCATGTAAGTCTGCACGTCTGGTATTGAAAAAAAAAACCATGCTGGGTCGTCGTCGTGATATATTGCCGATAGAACGTAAAATGAATTCTTGAATAAATTTATGGCGTCATTGTTAATGAAAAGTTCACAATTTTTACCCTATAACTATATTTTCAGCAAACTTTGCATTGTTTAAAATAGAGATCATCAAAATAATATCGTTATCGGCGTACTTTCATGGCGAAGCTGTGATTAAATGATATTTATTAAACAGAAAACAGAGTTATAACAGTTCATGTTAAAATTATTGTTTATTTAATTCTTGTTTAATTACTTAATTGCATGTACCTTTTCTGCCTTTGCATGCTTTACAACAGGGATAGCCGTCAACCAATTAGCCGCGCTTCACTGACCACATGCACCTGTGGCGGTATATCGAGATAATTGACACTTAAAAATGGACGTTTGTTGTGAAAACAGGGTGGCGGATGGCGGTATGCGAATTTGGCGTTATAAAGAGAATTTTATATAACAGGAAAAACGTTCTTGGGAAATCACGGCGGTATTGCGAAAATGGCGATGAATCGAATGGCGATAATTCGAGAATTGACTGTACATCATTCTGTATGTAAACAGAGAATGGGAAAGGCGAAAGATTTATCACCAAGCTTAAAACTAAGGATCGTAAATAGTTTTCAGAGTGGAATAAAACAATCAGAAATTGAAAAGTGCCTAGGATTAAACCGATGTACGGTTTGTGCTGTGATAAAGCGATATCAGGAACGGGGTTCGGTGGAGAATAAGCCTAGAAGGGGGAAAGAAAAAACTTAATGTTCAGGACGAACGGTCAATTTTGAGGTTAGTAAAAACACATCGTGTAGAACCTCTGAAAGATATCACTGCCAGATTCAACCAGTTTCGGGGGAATATTGTTTCAGAAGTAACTGTAAAAAGATGTTTGTTCCGAAATAAATACCACAGACGAGTTGTAAGAAAAAACATGCGAATCCGAGATGTGAACATAAAGAAACGAGTCGAGTGGGCTAGGGGGAAAAGGAATTGGAAATTGATGGTGACTGGAATAGTGTTATTTTTTCTGATGAATGTAACTTGATTATTGGAGAAAATAATCGCGTATATGTGTGGCGGAGACCCGGAGAGGAGTGGATGCCGCAATACATTAGCCCCGTTCGTGGTGCAAAGGTTAGTCTAATGATTTGGCCAGTTGTTGCCCAGCATTTTCCACAGAATGACTTTATTTTTCAAGACGACAATGAGCCAGTGCATCGCGGAAGGATTGTTATAAATTACAAAACTGAAAATAATATTCGAGGAATGCTGTGGCCTGCCCAATCTCCGGATGCTAACATAATTGAAAACTGTTGGCTTTTGTTGAAAAATCAGCTTAGAAAATGTTCAAACAGAATTACCAACGCAGCGGATCTAGAACAAGAAATTCAACGCCAATATGGACCACCATCCCCATTCATTATATACGGAACCTTTACAGATCTCTTCCACAACGAATGTTCAGGATTATAAGATAAAAGGGGTATGCCACAAAATATTAGGTAAGTTTTATTTATACAAATCTGTTTATAATGCAGAAATCGTATGTTGCTAATAACGCGACGACGCCATTTTGTTTATAATATTATGATCCGCCGCTGTAACTTAAGGACCCGGACCACAATTAGCTTACATATAGACTTATATAGTAAAAACACGTGTTTTATTTTCTTTGTAACTTTTTTAAAAATCTTCATTTCCAAAATATCTTTGACCACATGATAGAGCAATGTGTCAGATAAATATTCACATCCAGAAATAGGGGTGTTGAATGTGGACTTCCCTGGTTATTAATAAACTTCTGACGTCATGACCTCGGGATAGCTCTCG